CGCCCAATCAGAAGACAAGACTGCGGGCCAAAGAGCGGTGTGCATCGGCGGGCCGAGAGCACTCGCCCAATCAGAAGACAAGACTGCGGGCCAAAGAGCGGTGTGCATCGGCGGGCCGAGAGCGCCCACCGTATCAGAAGAAAAGACTAGAGGCGCTCAGCATTATATCTAATCAACAGCCCAAGGGTCAAGCTCATCAGCTGTTTAGCAGCAGCCTTACAGGAAAATGTCTTTTGATTTCATTCACATCCCCCTTGCAAAAATGGAACACAATTTCCGAATCTGATACAAAAAAGGGTTATCCCTAGAAATAGTAAAATATCTTTTCAGTTTCACATTGTAAACTTCACCAAAAAAAAATTAAAAATGTTATGGGATAAACTTTTTATATAACTCAGTTTAAGTTACACAGCATGAATAAGAGTAGTTGTGAAGAGTAGTTGTCTTTTTCATGGGTGTTTTTTTCCCCTAAAATTCCATTTAAGGTGTCTCTGCTTAAATATGGCAAAGAAGAAATGATGTGTGAGGGTAATTAATTAACCATGTATTTCATTTATATTGTTGCTGCTTCTGTCCCAGCTGAAAATTTACAAGGCATGGTGACTAAATTTGGATCACACCATATTTCCTGTTTTTTTTGCTCTTTCCCTGCAATAAAACATGTTTTCATTCCAATTAGCACAAACACGCCACAGTATTTTTCTTTCTTTCTTTTTTTTAACAGACCCATAGTACTTAACAATAAAAGGTTCAGTTCTATCTGCATCTGCAGTAATTACAGAGTTTGTTGAAAACAAAATCAAAGTACACAGTGCATCCCCTGGCCTTGAACTGGACAAATTTACAAGAATAAAACAATTCTAAAACTTTGATCAAGTTTCCATCTTTTTACAGTTTTATAATAGAAGACAGACATAACATTTTTCTAACACAGTACAGTGTGTTAAACCTTCAGCAAAGCAGAGGCCTTCAGTGTTCTTCCTCTGTATACCTGTGGGTGGCGCTGCATTGCTGAGTCAGACTCACAAATCCGGCTAAAAATCCTTCGGCCGTAAATAGGTGAGCCTCACATGCAGTGAAGATAATTCTTCAGTGTTTTCCAACATTTTTAAGACAGTCGTCACTGCAGAAAGGTGCATCTTAAAATTTAATTTTATTAAAATGCTTTTTAAAGATTTTGGCACAATAATGTCCATATTTCACTGTGTTGTATATATATATATATATATATATATATATATAATTTAAATATTTAAAATTTAAAAGTTCTGGCTAATTTGTAGTGTTTTTTGACAAATAGAGTGTCTGTGCTTTCATCTATATTCAAGGGTTCTCTTACCTAGAGAACCTTCAGTAGGAACAGAATCACAGTGTTACTAGTTCCCGTGTCCCTGTAACTGTAGTTCTGCTTGGGGACACATGGACAGGGGGACAGAAGGACGTCACCGCTCGTGTCTGGTTGTGATCTCGCCTCGCTCCACTACTGCCATGCTGCTCCTGTTCTCAGGCGGCTCCTTAGCGGCTGAGTCCAAGTGGAATTCCGCCACGACGGGACAGTGGTCCGACGCCACCCCTCCCCACGACCAGTTGTCTGGGATCCATGGATTGGTCAGGCCCTCCCGCACCACCCAGCAGTGCCCTGTAGGGGGCGGCAAACATGCATACAAAGGGACTCCTATGATTTGCCCACACTTGGGCAAAGCACTTGCCCAACAATGCAAAATGTTTAATGATTGCCTTACCTGTCCAATCTAAAACAGTGACAAATGTCTAACTCCTGCTCATGTACATATTAGGAATGAACCAAGCAGTGTGTCTTGGGCTAGACCCCAGATCTGCACTGGTACCTTCATAAATAACAGAGTAGACCACACTTAGTCAGTCTATCTTCTTCCATTATGGAAGAGTTGTGATCTATTCACAAGGTCTGGCTTGTAAACAGCCACAGCAGATGGCCACCCCCCATACCTGTGTAGATATTCTTGAGGGTGTGGGTGGCCCACATGTTGTCCACACACCGGGACCCTTGCAGGTTGTGTGTGCTGATGTTTGTGAACTGGGTGGGGGGGACCAGCGCGCTCAGCTTCTCCATTCTGAGAGGGTCCAGCTCCCTGCTGTCCGGGGGCAGGCCAAAGTCACCCAGCGCCAGCAGCAAATTCTCCCCTGACCCGGAGGAAGGAAGGTGCAGATTTCCCATTAAATAATATCACCATAAATAATCTCGCTTAACAGTACTATGTCCAGCCCCTTTAGCACTATGCCATCTACTGGTCGTTCTGAGAAGTGCAAGCTATCATTGACTTGGGGGTGACTGTATTTGTCCACCTGGAATCTGACCTCTGATGGTATCCCGAACGGCATCAGTGACATGAAGACTCCTGGAGTCATCCGCATGGATGTTCCCATTCTGCTCTCCCGGCTGGGTCAGGCCAAGGTGGAAATTCATAACCGTGAGCTCGGACAATCCAATCTGAGTGTGGACACGAAAATAACCGCGTGTCAGGGCAGGAAAAAAATAGCTCCTGGGGGCAGCGCTGAGTGGCGAAGTGCCACAGTATTTAAAACCAATGGCAACAAATTGAAGCACACAGCTTTAGCACCTGATTAACCAAGATCTTAATAAGTGACGTACTTTGAAGCGTGCTAAGTATGGCTGAGGGAGGGCAGGCCTCCCGTTGCCGCTGGATCTCGGGCTCTCCAGGATGACCGCGTCCTTCAGCTCGATGCCGGAAGCACTGTTCCACAGGAAGCCAGAAAACGCCGCCCTCTGGGAAGAGGTGAGGCAGCAAGGGGGCGCTAGTGAGCACATTATCAGTGGCGGATGATACCGGAAACACCGAAGCCTCCACAGGTCAACAGTGGGATCTAGAAAACTATTGGGACCACAAACAGGAGACTGAGGGCAGTTCTGCAGAACCCTAACCCTAACCATAACCGTACCCGTATGCTCCAACCCTAACTCATTCTCTGCTAGTCTGTAACAATGGGCTACTATGTAAATGTACTGTGATGGGTTTTAAGTGCAATAGGAACAGCATCATGCAAATGTTCTCAATGCAAACAAGGTCTAAATAACCCAGAATTGGAGGGAATATTTCGTGCTGGAACGCTTCCAGACACAAGATCAGCAGAACAGAGAATGTATATCAGGGCACACAGAGACACATCTAAGAAGGCACTGCAGGGACTGTTCATTTGTTCACGGACACTGGTGATAGAGGAATTTGCAGATGGCATTTGTTGGTGTATGCAAAGCGCCTGGCGGCTCCACGCTTCCCTTTCCATCGTCCTTCCGCATCTGTGACTAATCTCATTTCTGAGAGCACTAATCTCACACCGAGCTTCTGCAAAGCAACCTTCATACCCCGGGAGATCTTGCTGGCATTTTTTCTTATAAAGGATGTTGGGGGAAGGGAGATGGAGAATGGATCATATAATCAAACACGATTAATCACATTTAGCCTATCACATCCTCAGACAGGAATATTTTAGAAGAGAATCCTATTTTCTCTGAGACTGGACCCAGATCATCATCAGCTGGGAGCAAAGTGGTTTGAACACTGAGGGGTTGAAGTCTCCACCCATTTAGGGGGAGACATGACTGTTGTGGGGGGGGGGGGTATGTTGCCCAGTTTTGATTATTGGGGGGTTAGAACCCACCCATCTCCGTCCATAATAAACGCCCATAATTGAAAGCATCTCAATGGACTTCTGCCCTACTGGCAAAGTATACTGTGGATCTGAGCAGTGGTTCACCTACCTTGTGGATCTGGCCGGTGGGCTTGTCAGAAACGATACATTTCCAGGTCCCACGAGGGCCCCCCCACTTCTGGACGCTGGGCAGAGTTCCCTGGTTCAGCTCGGCACAGAACTGCAACATGCAGGAAAACTCGCAGGTCACCGAACAGTGTCTCTGCCAAGCCATGAACGCTACATGCGTCACCCACATCTCCATCAGTACCTTACATGCATCACCCACATCTCCATCAGTACCTTACATGCATCACCCACATCTCCATCAGTACCTTACATGCATCACCCACATCTCCATCAGTACCTACATGTCCTGAAAGTAAACAGAACCACCACGGATGGGTGTCGAAATTGGCCTGATGGTATTTTCACCAATGGTCACCATTTCATAAAGTTAAATGTGTCCTTGTGACATACATGCATGTGCATATTTGTAAATATCACCCAAAGTACATTTAAGTCATTATCCGTAGGTCTAATGAAACTGGAAGCCTCCTTCCCATACCCAAACAAATCTAGTCCATGGCATCACAAGGGCTGTGCCCAAATAAAAACTACCAACAGTATTTGTGCCAAAGAAACGTATCCAGCAAGTACAGCCAGAAGGACCTGCTGGGTGACTGACCTACATACCTTGCTTCCCGGTTATCATCTATACTTAACCTAGAAAGAGGGTTTTTACAGCCCTCGCCCCCCTGTAGCATGCTGGAGGTCCCTCCAAAGCCCCTCCCACTACCACATCGCTCCCATTTCCCCCCACCAGAGAACTACAACAACCAGTTTTTCCAGTTCTGCTTTTTCAGAACCCCGCCCCCTTGGGGTTTTGGAAGGTTCTGGAGATGGAGCCACGATGTCAAATTAGAATGTCAAAACTGAACCGGAAAGGTAAGATGGTACAGAGATCTGTCCAATTCCCTCAAGGACAGGAAAGACAAGAAGGTCAAGAGTCTCTGCGAGATGTCAGAGTACACGTTACGCAGCGGGAATGGAGGGCGTGGTGCTGCTTTGGCGGAAGCTCTGTAACCCTGGGTATCAGCTGATTCTCACTACAACACCTGTTACATCACCTGTGGGAAGAAGCCTAGCTGTGGGCCAGACCCAGCTTTGTGAGGGCTGCCCAGATGGGAATGCAAGGTCATGCATGGCCACCTGACAGGTGGTGAGTTACACTGTTACTCCAAGAACCCGAAGGCTGTCCATGTGGCATCTTCATGCTAAAGTACGCACTATGACAGGAGATAGGGATAGTGGTCAGGAAGTACCACTGAGATACCCAGAGCAAGGTACCACCCCCAAGCGCAGCTCTCCAGGTGCTGAATTAGCTGCCCCTGCTATGTCGCAATGTCACACAAGGCTCAAATGCAGAGGACACATGTTGTTGTTGTGCTGTGGTGTGTCAACAATGACAACTAATCACTTTTAGAAGCCTTTTCATCTGATTGCTCAGTGTGGGAGGTGTCTGGGCCTGTCGTCGGAAGGTCGCTGGTTTGAGCCCTTGGCAGCATAGTCACATGTCTGTCCCGCCCCTTAAGGCCCTTAAAAGGCCGGAACACCCCAGGCATGCCAGAAAATGGCCTGACCCTGCATCCAAACCCGAAGATTCTTTCTCAACTGTGTGTGTCTCGAAGGAGAGCAAGATGGGATATGCAATAAGAAGAATTCCCAAGTACCTGCAACTAAAGCATCACTTCACAGGACGATTTTGTGGAGCTGCATGACCACAAGGCTTTCAGAAATCTTCACACGCCGTTCCGTAACAGAATTTTCCACTACTTCAGCTTCCCTGAAAATAATGGTTACTGCGAGAAATATTTAACAAAAAAATTGTGTTACACCCCCGCTGGAGGAAGGAGAACAGTCCTTAGAAGGAGTGGTATTTTCCCCCATCGCGGTAGGCGTCTGTTCATCAGCTGAGGGGCAGAAAGAGGAAAGTGAGAGCCTTTCTGCCAATTATTCACTGATTACTCAGGAAAAACACAGATCTGCCGATGTGAACAGGACGGATCCCCCATTCTCTCGTCAGTGTCCAAAAATTCAAATTAGCGAGTGATTTCAGTGAAAGAAATTAAATGAAAAGCAAATGAAGAGGAAGCTTTGAAAGTTTAATGGCTGTCAATCCAGGCTTCTGTCAATATGATTTGCTTGCTAACCTTAGGCCAAACCCACAGAAACTGTTAGGTCACATGACTCCCTGTGGACCTTAACAACAGTAACCAAACACGAACACAAAAACGCAGATCTGAGTTCTCAGAATGAAAAAAGGGCGTGATGAAATTAATGTTGTACAATTCTCATGAACTGAAGAGGGCTCATAGATGAGAGGGTGCTTAACTCAGGGGGTGGGCTGGGGGGGATGGAGTAAGGATGGGGGGTGTAGGATAATGGAAAAAGCATTGCAGATGGGGCAGCTCTATGAGTCATAGAATCGTGGCCCGACTCCTGTGATTCCTTATTTAAACCAGGACATACCCAAAGCTCAGACTCAGAAGCCATAAATCCACCCCAGGCAGCAGCTCGGGAAGCAAAGACGAAGCCAGACAAGTCCATGTGACTATCTGCTACACCTCTGTCTCCCGTCTCACTGCTGAGGGCTATCAGCTCTAACCTTTCCATTCTGAATACAATCATACACACCAGCTTCCTGTAAACAGCCCAAGTACCTCTCTGTTAGCAAAAGAGCAGAATGCAACATGCACTTAAATATATGCTGTTATTTAAAATAATAATAATGAACTGTATTAATAACTGCAGTGGACACTTTATAGGACATGGAACTTTGCTATAAGAAAGGTGGCTGTTCCAGTGAATGCCAGTCTGTCATCACACAGATTGTCTGCTGCAGTTTCCACTGGAAAAAAAACACTGTTTACATCTATCTGCCTTTTCTTCTGCTGTCCAGCGAAAGTGTCCTGATTGGACAGTCTCAGAATTCCAGTGCTCTCCAGGGTGATCACCTTTACGGATCTCTGTGTGGGGCGATTAGTCAGACGTAAGGAATGCAAAGGGAACTGATAATGCGTGTGTGTGTGTGTGTGTGGGGGGGGGGGCTCAGCAGACAGGAAAGGGATTCCCCATGCCCCCCCAAGTTAAAATTCCTCCAGTTTAAAGCCCAGTGAGGCCCACTAAATATTTCCTTTGACCCGCAGAAACAGAGGCCAGTTTCTTGGTCCCTCCGGTGCGAGTCACAGAGTAAAAGACCAGAAGCATTTAGACCGTCAGCATAGCATCTCTTAGTAGTGGGGAGAGATACATGAAGATGAAATGTGCGGCAGGTTGGAGGAAGAGTGAGAGATGGATATAGTGAGAGTGGTGGTCAAAAACCGCCTAGCCAAACAAAAAGCCATTGTTTGAATTTTAAATCAGCAAGTACTTAAGAGCCAATGATTAGGTCATTATTACAGCTCAACAGCGTTATGCAGCAATAAAGTGAAGTCAGCTGAGAACCTGAATCTCCTGAATGACCAGGTTATCCCATCAATTGGTTTTTTATTTCCTAATGGCATGGACATATTCCAGGACGATAATGGCAAGATTCATAGGGCTCCAACTGTGAAAGAGTGGTTCAGGGAGCATGAGGAATCATTTTCACACATGAATTGACCACCACAGAATTGTGACCTTAAGCCCAGTGAAAGTCTTTGAGATGTGTCGAAGAAGACTTCACGGAGTGGTTCAACTCACCTATCATCAGTGCGAGATCTCAATGAGAAATGAATGCAAATCTGAATGAAAATGTTGAGATGTTGCATAAGCATATAGAAACAATGCATTGAAGTGTGTGACTTTTTTTTGGCCAGGTAGAGAATGTCTGGAAATAGAAGAAAAAGAAAGAGAGGAACAGAGAGAGGGATACAGAGGGAGGCATGGGAAGGGCTGGGTAGGGCACTCAGATGAACTGAGGTAGATCACATATGTACAAAATAGATATGGCCTCTGGCCGTCTGGTCAACCTGCACAGTCAGGAGTGCATGTCAAGCATTTCCAAGCTCAGCCCAGACGTGAGCATAAGCCTCAGCTATCTCCATCCAGATCCCTGTCCGTGACGGAGCCATACGCTGACAACAAAAATGACATCCGCTAAAACAGCTGGGACAAGTCTGGGAGAACAAACCCCTGGGCATTCCTCATCAGTGATCCAACATGTGCAGATCACAACAGCCTCATTAGCGGGAATATGCACTGAGGAGGAAGGTTATGGGGGTCAAGCTCAATCATCTCAAGAACATTTAGGCTTGAAGAGTTGCAGGAAGTACAGAGAAAAAGAGCCAGTCTGGCCACATTATTTAGTTCAGGAGAAAAGCTGTCAGGTCTGAAATTCAGACTGGATACACTGAACCAGTCCAGAACCAGATTAGACCCAGTCATGAATCAGAACAGAAGTGGTATTTGATAGCTCATCCAACCACAGACCAACTCTGCCTTCATGCTATCCCTTAACTGGTGTCTTGTGTATCTTGGATACTGGATATTTTTGCAATTGTCTTTGTATATGATCTGAGTACCTCTCATTTGGTTCTTGCAACGTGCTTGTAACATTTCTTGCAGCGCCTACCCCAACATTAACAGCCATTCATTGGAATCTCAGTCTAGCTGCACTCATGCCTAATTGGCCTCCTTACAACTGTATACTTGTAATGTACCAGCTGTCTTATTTGTATGCTGCTTCGGACAACAGCATCAGCTAAATGCAAATGTCATGGAAATGTGTTTGGCATTTCCTACAGCAGTGTCCTCGGGGAACCCCAAACAGTCCGTGTTTTTGGTTCCGCCCAGCTCCCCCCCACACAGTCCATGTTTTTGGTTCCGCCCAGCTCCCCCCCCAAACAGTCCATGTATTTGGTTCCGCCCAGCTCCCCCCCACACAGTCCATGTTTTTGGTTCCGCCCAGCTCCCCCCAAGGGCCAGGTTGAGAAACATTGTCCTGCAACACTGGAAGCCTCCACATGCATACACAGTGCGTCGTACCTTCTCGAGCGACTCTCCATCTGCCAGGTCTTGAACTGCTAGCAACTTGATGCTGTAGAGAGTAGAGGAGAAATTGACAGTTATAAGGAGCAACTAAATGCAAATGTCATGGAAATGTATTTGGCATTTTCTACATCATCATTCACTGAGTATGTCGAAATGTTGGCTTTCACCATCTTCAGCAGAGGACAGGGGTATCTTACTGGCACCTCTGGTGTGGAACTGCAACTGAGCACTCGCACTAAAAGGCTACCACAGTGCCAGCTACTGGCAGGGTCCTGGTAAAGCATTCAAAACCTTCAAGAAGAGAAACACATCATATTGTCGGACCCCCTGGGCCACTGTCAGAACCGCACCAAAGATCCTGCTGAGACATCCATGTTGCCATGGCAATGGTGTCATGTATTTGCGCGGCTAATGTTCAACTGTGCGTTGTGACAAAAACAGCATTTGGTGTGAAATACGAACAGGACATACAAAGTTGTCATTATGAGAATCAAGTAGGAATTCTGGGGAATATCCAGTTTAGAGGTGTGACTGAACAGGGGTATTACTCATTAGTCCACATGGTAAAGCTCACTCCCACTAGCATATCTAGGCCTTAGGGATTTGCAGAGATACTTTGGGTACTTTGGGATTATAGAAAAGCAGAAGGATGGATCGGGGCAAAATAGCTAAGAAAATAAATACAGGCCAGTCTTATCTTGAATCGTTTGTATCATTTTTGTCTACCAACAATACACACTGCAAAAAGCATATATCCATCAGTGTTATTATCCTCTTCTTCTCCAGAACAGGCTCCAGGGTTGTTGCAATGCAATCTCAGGAAGTATCGCTCACAGGAAAGCGGATGTAGGAAGGAAGAAATCAGAGCGGCCCATGGAGGCAGAAATGAATGAGTTCTTTTACACATCGACCCATTAAAGGAGGGCCATGCGGAATGTTCCATGGAACTCAACTGACCCTTACGTAGTGCAGAATGAGTTGTGCTACTTACACCTTTGTTTTCTGAGAAACCACCCTGACTATCGGCGAGATTTTGGGCAGGTAGCAAGGAGCGGATTCCCCAGGGTGCCGGCAGGTGATATTATGGCGCGTTTCCATTTGCCCTCGGAACTCGGATTCCGAGTTTTGAAGCCAGAAGTGACGACGTGCGCACTCCTGTTTCTCAGGGATCTGAGAAATATCTTGGACAGCATAGAGCATCCCGAGTTCAGAATCCAAGATGGCTGCGCCCTTTATCAACAGAAGGGAAAGTTGTAGCTTTATACTGTTTAAGCACTACTTCTCATTTGTGGCTCATTAAATCGTTCACACACACAATACCGTCCAACTTATCTGTGGACGTGCTGCCAATTAACTATTGTTAGAATTGGATTTCATGATAGTCGGATTATATATGGTTTTAAGGTAGTTCCGGCTAATTGTAAGTGAACGAAGATAAAGGCCATTTAAACTGAGGTACCTTAAATCCGACAAGTTGTCCGGCTAAGCAAAAAATCTTGCTTTTTCAAATGGGTCCATGGTATTGCTACTTCTGTGGCAAATGAAACGGGTTTCCCTGAGTTTTTAGCAGATGTGACGTAATCTTGGAATAAGAAAATCGGATCCCAAGGCAAATGGAATACAGGACTAGTTTGATATCACGCTACAAACTCATAAGATGGTTGATCTCCTTACTCTTGGTTTAGTATTGTTTGTGATCATGAGCTTTCCTCTGTCATTTTAGGAAAACCGCTGGCCCCTTTCCCGGGAGGAATAAACACTGCCTGCTTCCCCTGGGAATGAGTGGCACTTCCACAAGGAAGCTACCGTGACTCTGGGGGCGGAGATCCTGAGGTAAGATGCAGGCTTGGACTGGACCACATCCAAGCAGGACGCTGATGACTCCGACTGACTCTGTACTTCACCAGAGCCTAAGCCATCCTGCATCTGCTGTCTAACGTCAAATTTACCACCGCAGTTCAAGCACTGAATGGAATTTCTATTAATTACTGGGTCAGTCTCACGTGGACAAGCAGCTATTTATGAGTCTCGTTTCTATTTAAACTATTTAAAATTAATCTGATTCATGTTTGAAAAAAGCTGCATTTAAGTATTAGCACAATGTGATATTGGTGAACGAGCTATTTCCGGCTGCCGCTACATGGCGTAGTTTTGAGTTTACAATGTTATGTACTGGCTTGGAGGTGGATTTGTGACTTTCTAAGCGCTATAGCTGTATTATTCACAGTCGACTTTTCATTGATGCAAACTGTCTTAAGGCACTAAAGGTCATATAATGCGTCATAATTTACTTAGCAGCTTCTCCTTCAGTCGTACCGCCAAAGACATACTCAGCTCCGTATTTCCAAATCCCAAATCCCAAGTCTAAAGACACAGGCTGGCAAACAGTCCAGATTAATCAGAACCAGGTTCCGCCCAAATGCAGGCCAGCTGGCCAAAAGAGTAGAGGTTACAGTAGTTCAAATAAATTCAAGTGAACTGAGATAAGTTTTTCAAACCCTGGTTGCCCAATCAAAGATCCTCTGCACAACACTGGCAAAGATCTACATCTCAGCGCCCTACACCCATACCTACATTCAACATGCACCCATACCTACATTCAGCATATACCCATACCTACATTCAGCATACACCCATACCTACATTCAGCATACACCCATACCTACATTCAACATACACCCATACCTACATTCAGCATGCATTGCCCCCCTGGCAATGGGATTCACCTGTTGATGTCTGAAGGACAGAATGGTAGCAGGCTTAGGGACAACCAAAGCCACCCTCCAAAACTGCATCCCATTGGCTCCATTCCACCCAGCTTGTTCTGCAAGTGGCATCAGGCCAGTCATTATGTGGGACTTGATGTACATGGGATCCCCATTCATTCCATGTAGAGTGACAATGCCACTGATTCTTATTATACAAGATTCTCCAAAGATCCATTCATCCATTTCCCAGCTGCATGTCCAGCAGAGTCTTGCTGGGGGGGTTACTGTACCTATCTCAGACACATGTCCTACTTGATTTCCAAAAAGAACAAATTGAACAATATCTATATTAGCAACTAGTACCTAGGCCTGTACATATTCCTCACTGTAATTCAGGAAATATCATTCAAATGAGTGGAACATAACAAAGCAAATCCTCAGATAATCCTCAGGGATGTCAAATACAGCCTCTCCCTAGGTTACAATGGGGTTACGTTCTGAGAAACCTACCGTAAGTCGAAAATATCGTAATGCATTTTAATACAGTACACCTCACCTAACAAACATCATAGCCTAGCCTAGCCTACGCTTACATTAGCCTACAGTTGGGCAAAATCATTAACACAAAGCCTATTTTATAATAAACTGTTGAATATCTCACGTAATTTATTGAATAAAGTACTGAAAGTCAAAAATATTTTAAAATACTGTAACACGAACCACCATAGCCCAGGCAGCATCTGCACTTTCAATCAGAACAATACTGCCCACGTACATACCGGTAGATCCTTAACAGCATCCAATTCGATTAACACACACTGGACCTGCCTGCTCATGTGTAATCATAAACTGAAACAGTTAAACTCTGGTAAACCCTTATTTCAGACAGAGGTCATGTGGGAAAATACAGTCTCATTATTGTGGTTTCAAATTCCATAAACAGACACATGCCAATACAGATATGCAAACTCTAGACTCCGGTCATGGGGTTCACGTTCTCAACTGACTTCTTGCTGAATTGAAAGCTCAGGCCAGAGGGTATCTGTTGCTTGAGATCTTTCTGGAAACAGGCCTTATCGCTAGTAAATGAAGTGGGATACCACGTACAAACCCCATCTCGAAATATCTTACACACAGTAATCATTAGCTGGATAATTCCTGTAATCGCACCACACTTCAATTAATTTTCTGTGCAAACAGACGAAGACGTGTCTACCTGCTATGGAGTTCTATTTACTGTACTAAAGCCGGTACCAAGCCCCGGGGGGGGGGGGGGGGGGGGGGGGGGGGCAGGCAGCGGCATCATCGCCATGCCCCCCAGCTAGGAAGCCTGTGAGAGCAGCACCAGCTGCAGCCCGAAATCAGCCCCAGCTGACGGAACCTTCACCTCCAACTCTAATGTGCTGCTTCAATGGATTTTCCACATGACTGCATTTGACCACATCTCCAAACGGCTGAGCCCCCGGCTGGAAGCCCCCAGATATGTGTGTGTGGGGGGGGGGGGGGGGCATATATATTACATTGTGAGGCCCACATGTCCCCACAGTGTGATAAAAACCTGTTATTTTGACTTTATGGGCACATTTTTTCAGTCCCCAAAAGGGGAAACTCAATTTTATTAAAATCTAAGACTGCAATGAAAAATCTAAAAATGTCCTGTATTTTGTTTAGTGACTTATGGTTAAGGTAAGGGCTGGGTGGGGGTTAAGGTTGTCATTTCTGGGATTAGGGTTATGCCCATAGAAATGAATGGAGAGTCCGCACCAAGATATGAATATAAAATGTGTTTGTGTGTATGTCTGTGTCTGTGTGTGTGTGTGTGTGTGTCAGTGTGTGCGTCTGTGTGTCAGTGTCTGTGTGTGTGTGTGTGTGTGTGTGTGTGTGTCTGTGACCAGTACTGCTTCATTGGTGCTGCAGTTTGGGGAGACATATCATTCCATCAGAATTCTATTTAGAGCAAAGTGCCCTGTTAAAAAAAACCTTTACCGTTCTATTCCAGTCTAGACAGCATCCTCCACGTTCAGACCAAGCTACACCTGATACCCCCCCGGAAAGGAATCACCAGAGAGGGTGGCAAGTGGAAAGCTGAAGAATGAGCCAACCTTCACAGAAATGTGGCTTTATGGGCAGCTCAGCTGGTGACTAATTGTGGCGTCACTTTGCAATGAGGGAAACTCAGCCAGCATCCAAGGTTAAAAATAAAGACCTATCATCCCTACCAGAGCGGCCATGTTTACTGCCCTGTTTTTGACCTGAATTTCCTGACGCAGGCGAAGGAGAAAGGTCCCCCCATGTCGTCATCATGGGATTGATGCGATCGTCGTGTCCGGTAAACAAGGGCTGTAAATGAAACCGTCTGATAACAGTTCAGCTGACTATAGTGGCAGCTGTTTGATTACAAAGGTCAGACACCTGGCCCTCACTTTATCATTTCAGCACTTGTTTTTTTTTTTAACCCATTTTTACTCTTTGTTTTGCAGTCCATCCGTCTGTCCAGCCCCCCCCCACCACATCAAAACACCACAGCACCATTACGAGGATCGGTACTACCTGGCAATTACAAAGTCCACCTGTTTCATCTTCTCGGAATCCCTACAGAGGGCTGGCTTCATCATTAAACTATGGGAGATATCTTGCCTCTCATAGCACCAAACAGGCTTGTTGACCTGACAAAGCCTCCAGCCTGTGGTTTGGAGAAGATCTGAGGAGGGTGACCTAGGACTCATACTTTTTGTGAGCCAGACTAGCAAGTCAAACTGGTCCGGGGGATGGGATGCAGCGGGGGGGTGTGGCGCGTTGGGCCACCGTGCCCATGCATAGGTGCCGAGGCTGACTGAGGGAATTCACTACCGCGCCCTTCAGCTAAACCGTAAACCCCCAGTTGGCCCAGGAATGATGTGACCCTCCTTTCTCCAACGTATGTTGCTTTGGATCAAATTCAATTCAATTTATTTTTATTAGCACTATTCACAACAGTCACCCCAAGCCACGAAATAAAATGTTTTAAAAAATCCACTTCACATAGCTACAGACCTGCAGTGGTGGGGACGTTACTCACAAAAGTGACCCATTACAGACAAAGGTGGAAAGTTCAGGTCCAGAAAGTACAAATCCAGACCAAGGTTTTGTTTCAACCAATCTGCAATGGATTACTTTTGTCAGTAACTTCCCCAATACTGCAGATTTGGGAATGATTTGGGGGGGGGGGGGTCTAAATTAAGCTATATAATTACTACCCAGCAGTCCCCGGTGGTATTTATATTTACTGTTATGGTAATCCGATTACAGGCCCTTCCTGTCGTACCACAATAGCCTGCTCACATGTCAGGCCACAGAGCAGCATGATTCTCACCACCGACAGCGTTGCGCTGCTTTAACGCCCCGACGCGGATGCTGGTCAACGTTCACCGCATTTATCTCTGTTGATGAAAGTGCCGGAAGACCTCAGTTTGAGCCAGACCCTTCCTGAGGCATCGGAACGATCATTAGAAAAAAACCCAGAGCAATCTGGGCGGAGATGATTAAGGGGATTAATGATTAAATGGAATGGTACTGTAGCTTAACGGTGGTTCACTGTACCATTCATTCTGCTAAGCTGGCAGATCAAATAAAGGCTGAAGTCCATTGGGGAGAAATCAATACCTACACATTGAATCATTTGAGAAAGTCACGATAACTAAGCCAGCAGTTTATGTTAAAATCCCAAGACATTCAGCTAAATAATCCCCCTCCCCAGTTCCTGCATTTACCTACTCTGGGTACAGTTCTGTAACAAAGCCCCCTACCAGTCCGCACTGGAAGGAAGGTAACCTAAAACAGACAAGACGCATAAAATGAAATTAAACCAGAAAAGGCCAATCAGCTTCCAAGCATTCCAAAGCAGCTCAGAGACATCAGAGACACACACAGGATTGGGCTAGGTGTACAAGACGGAACAAGTATTAGAACGAGTAGTGAAAACAGCATGACAATCTCAAAAACAAGAACAGGGTGCGCCAGGCCCATATAAATGGTATTTGTGTATTTCAATCAGATGTTCATTAAATAATTTGAAGTTGTTACAGAAAACAGAAGTTCCTGAAGCTGAACTGAGTACCTAACATTGGCGTCCCCATGATTTAAATCAGTGGTCGTCAACCAATCGATCACGCTCGTGGGAGTTTCGCTTAAACAAAAATGTTGTGAGGGCAGAATGAAAAAAATTATTGGTTCAGAGAGATGACCAATCAGACCGTAGAGGAGGTGGTTCCAAGCAACTAGAGGAGGCAGGACCAACCAATCAGGTGTCTTGGTCCCACGTTGATCACAACCAATTAGTTGAACTTTCAAACATTCTAAATCAATCATGACAAACCTACAGAGGAGAATCGCACCCCCCCCCCCCCAGCCACCTAAATTTATTGACAGTGATTATTGACAGGGTCAATAATGTGCACAGACAGCTCCCCAGGCTATTTTCTTTGTATAAGTAGCTCTCTCTGTTAATAAGGTTGTAGACCCACTGCTTTAAATCACCTGTCTTCCCATTTTATAAGCAACCAACAAAGACGCGATGACACATTAAATACCTGCCTGGTAAGAAAACGGGTATCTGCGTCGTGCCGAAAGGAGACCACAGCTCGGCCCGCAGGACGTAAGCTTTAACCCCGCGGCCGATGCCAGGGCTGAGCAAGAATGTTGATTTCACAAGCTCTTAAGAAAAAAGAAATCAATCTCTCGCAGCTACCTTTCTTGGCAGAGTGAGTAGATCTTGGGATTGACCCAGAAACCCATTCAGGAAATGATCAGAGATACAGCTACAAGAATAATCAACGTAGTGACCAGAGGCACAACAAAATGAATGGATAGTTTTAGTGCAAATCATGCAGAAATCAAATGCTTCACACAAGCAGCCGCTAAAATGCTTTGCACGTGTGATGCTATTGTTCTCGCACAGCTTGTGAAAACAGGAGCCTCCCACTCCCGTTTTCTGAAAGACCCCGCCCACCCTGCTCCTGATCGGAGGCGGACATTTCCGTGCGACTGAAATAGCTCTTTGGCAAGATGATCCAAAGCACGCTAGGTGACCTTTCGTACCTGGGAGTCCCTCCCTGGGCCCTAGAGGTGGGGCAGCAGAACCAAACCCGAATTTCTGATCACGGAAGAGCTAAACAGATAAGCCCAAGCAGGGAGATAAAAACTAAACATACAGATCGCGATTTTTATCATGGCTACATGTAAAAACAACTAAAGGGGCAAGATAAGTTTGATTGTGGATACACTGAGGTCCCGTGTTGTTGCTGCACTCAAACACTGATACATTTAAAGGTCTCATTGTCATACCAGAAGGGTGTCTTTGAGTAAAGAAAGAATGTCGCAAGATAAAGGGAGGACTTTCATTCATGCCACTTAAGTGCTTTCTGAGTAACGTATTAAAGGAAGGATTCCAGGTTTCAGGACAACGCTCCTTCAGTCTGAGAGACGGAGAACAAAGGCTTATACTCACATATGCAATTCTAAGAACTTGTGGCTCTAGGGACGATCAAAGCATTGTCACAGAGAACACCTTATAAGTCAATAAGCAGTACGGCTGCTTAAACAGGTGGGGTCGGGCGAGCTGTACACAGGGCCAGCAGGAACACAAACAGCTGTGTCACAAGGCACCTCTGAGACCCAATAAAACATAGGCACTTGCAGTATTGTGTGGCACAGTAACCTAACAACCATTACGACTATTGACACTCAGATCCTTAAAATAGTCACAAACATTCAGCAACCTTCTTCATTATTCAGAAGTGTTTGTTAATGTGTTGAGGAATTTAGCACAGTCAGAAAAAAAAAAAAAGAGTACCAATTTGTACCTCTGCGTGTCACTGGCGCTATACCCAAGTGTAGGGTCTGCCAATTATACCCACACTCTCAGAAAAAAGGTAAACATTTGTACCTTTGCTTGTCACTGGTGCTGTACCCTCAAGGGTGTGCCAATTGTACCCTAGTTGTTAAATGTACCTTTTAGTCTAATTTAATACAAAAATAGACTCTGATGAGCATCCCCAAGATACAAGCACATGTTCCTCATAGTCATTTCTGCATCTTAAAAGGTACAAGTACCTACAGCTAAGGGTACAAATGGCAGACCCTTAAGGGTACAGCCCAAATGACAAGCAAAGTACAAACTGGTACCCTTTTTTCTCACAGTGCAATCAGGTTAAGCATGGTTTTATCTTGGTGATCTTCTTGAGCATTTCAATTGTTTTTATTTCCCCATTTCATTAGTGTCTGCATCAGGCAAGTCGTACACCTGCTGCAGCTCCCATGATTCCACCTGAGGAATGATCACCTTTATTTAATCTGGGGAACCGTCTCTCTCACCACTGTAATGGCTGGGAAGCCTGCAGATGCCGTGTCCTTCAAAGACCAAGTTTAGGACCTTGTCACTGATCATTTGCCAGTCCTTTGGTATAAGTGCAGAATGCTGAAGATACATTACCTGGTCGGTTTAATTACGTCATATAATAGAAGATAAGGTTGTCATGTAATGTAATGTGTTGTTTTCTGTGTGTCCTCCACAAACATGCTAGGTCCTTGTACTTTACAGTTTAGTGCAACGCTTTTATATTTAATATTCGTTTACACATTTTAATATGTTTTAACGATATTTAAACGATAAAATAAATCTTCCTATTCTGTTCTGGAAAAATGGCTTTTTTTAAGACCAGAATTTTGCGTGTACAAAGAATGCACTTTAAAGGTGTACGGATAAGTCTAGAACAATATAATTATATAGTTTTATTTATATATGTAAGAACTCACTCGTTTTCCAGGAGCGTCATGCACACGACTTCTTTAACTCCGGGATTATTGGCTTTCTCGTTCGAGCAGCATTGCAGGTTCCACGTGGCCACCCGCACCACGGCTTTGCCGTCACGCAGGCCGGAGAAGGGCTCCACGACGGGCCGCGCCGAAACGATCTGCGGAGGTCCTCCCGGGGGAAGATCAAGGTCCTCGCTTTGAAGGCTCACCGACGTCGGACTCGAGTGCGATTTGCTCGCATTCGTCAGTCCCCCGTTGGTGTTGGTAGATTGGGTTCGGGATCGGTCCACGAAAACCTGGAACCTGATCCTGTCCAGCAAGGATGAATTCATGTGGTCGACTTTGACTAGATCGTCGACACTTTTGAATGGTCCGTGGACGTTGCGATAGACTATGATGTTCTTGGCTGTCTTCTCGGTGATTCCACGAATGCTCATGAGTTGCGACGGCGTGGCAGTATTGATGTTGATGCCGGTACTAACCGGGTGATCGTGGTCTTTGCGCAGGGACGAGGGCGAGTGCTGCGACGAACCCGTCCTATTGCTGACACATATCTCCAGCTTAATCACCTCCAGCTTGGTCGCGCCGACCCCGCTCACCAACGCCAGATCCTCCACTTTCTTGAACCCGTCAATGCACTCCCGGTACTCCACGATGTTCCGCGCCACCGTACGGTTCACCCCGGGAAGGGTCATCAACTCCTCCTCTGTCGCCGTGTTGATGTTCAGTCGCTCCTGGTTCACCAAGATGTGACTGAAGTTGCACGCAGCGCTGAACTTGCGTTTGTTTTGACAGAAATCCATCGGGTCTTTGGGGAGCGAGCGGTGACAGCCCAGAATCCCCCCCATCTCCACATTAACTACGGATCACATGCACACGAAACTCTGATGATTGCAGAGGAACCAAAGAAGAACCAGTCGGTGCACATTCAGTATGGTAAGTAAGGCAGCGGGCTGACAGACTCCGACCGAGCCAGCTGTCAGGACACGACATCAGCGTGACCGCATTATAAATGTGCAAACAAGTATATCAGTCAATCGAGTCTATTCTGGGTCGCAGTCCAGAAACAGTGGCAGTCAGGCCACTTACCAGGGAGTGAGATCCCCTTATCCCTCGCGAGTCTAATTGCTGTTAATCCTTCGGGGCTTCGCCTCCCTTGCCTTCCTGCATATGCCCGCTTGTGAAGTTGAAGGCATGGGCGCCGGTGTCGCTGCCACCTTTCCCTCCCGCCCCCCCAGCCGAGACTGAGCGGCTGCGCACGGCTCCGACTGCAAGCGTCAGGCTCTCTGCCTATACAGGCGGGCGGGGGCGCGGCTTCGGCCAGGCTGCTTAATCACGCTCGTCAGGGAGGATTTGCGTTAAATGTTACCGGAAGCATATCAAAGCACCACATAATTCAACTACTTATAATATTATTTGCAGAACATCTTATTTGCATTTGTGAACGTAAATGTGGCAATGAAAAATACGTCTATGTGAAATTAATCTTTCAGGAACCTATCACGTCAGCTGCAGCCATTAATAAGGGAGATAAATCATGACTAAGTGGTTTGATTAAATTGTCCCCTGATCAGACAATCCTAAAATTAAAATCAACCCCCAGCCACGGTCCTTGAAACCGGGGGTAGGCTACTGACAGTGTTCAGGATTGTTGCATATAATGGCATGTATGAATGAACCGAAGTTTGTGACCAGAGCGCCTCACAGCCATCCATCCATCCGTCTTCAATACCAGCGTGTCCTGTATATTACATTCAATGGCAGGTGGAACCTGCAAAGGTTCGTCGCAGGAATGATCTCAGTTTTAAACTTAAACTTAAGTTTTAAACCTTAGTAGCTGTTGTTAAAAGCACATGATAAAGAATAGTAGCAATAAAATATTTAGTACAGGTTACTTCGAACCATGGAGGTCGTTAAGTTCAGTTACTCCCGAGTATTTTAAGCCGATGCCAATCTTCCTTGGAGAAAACACGTCAAGCCCCAGGTAAACTTTACTTAACCCCTGATCATTTCAATAGCTAGAAGCCCCCCTGCTTCAAAGAGAAACAAAACATCTAAATTCTTTTAAAGAGAGTAGGGCAAACTTTACGCAAAGCACCGAATCAGCTCCTCTTGGTTCCATTAGTATTACTTGAGAGTAACTTATGAGTGTTCGGGATAAACAGCGCTGATTGCGGTATAATACGGCTTTCTGGAGGATTTGACATGTCAATGGAGACCGACTTGCTGTGAGGGGATTTTTCCGTGCCCTTAATCTCCCTGCTTATTACAGTTGGCGACTGCGCTGGTATGAACTGCAACAAACTGCATTACGCCGCGTCAGATGTCTAACATAAAAGTCGCTCGGTCATTGAGGGAAGCCTGATAAGCGGCTTTGCTAGCCTGGGTAAAGTATGAACAGATATTTATGAGAAGCTGAAGTCCGTACTTCGTCATTAGCATTGCTGGCTGACATTCTCCACCTGTGACCACGAGTTCGTGCACATTCCAGTTCCAGCAACTGCATCATCACATCATGTACAGTGATAAATACCACTGGGCCCTGAACACCACTTCCTGTACACTGTCTAACGCTACAGCGTTAGGGTTCCGTGTCAGAGAAATGGGCCCTGTTTGGCGCTGTTTACAGCTTTCGGCGTTAAGCCTCGTACAGGAAGAGGCGAGGACAGAATGTCTTCACTTTGCATAATGAGTCTTACTTTTCCATCCCGCTTAGCCCAGTACATCCTAGGCAGCATAGCAGACATGTGCAGAGATGTGTGTGTGTTGGGGGGGGGGGCAGCTGGTTGTGTCTGTGTGCCTGCCTCTTTTGCCTAAATGATTTTGGATTGAAAATGCTTTCCCCATTTTAAGGTTGTAAAGGCCCCTTTTTAGGACAATCAAACAAAATTTGTCTTGTGGGACCTCCCCCCCCCATTCAAGCCCCTGCCTCTCAAAAAGTCTTTGCATAACATGGGCCACACAGGGGACACCCTACATAGGGTGCTAGATAATCATAGAGCCCACACAGGTGACACCCTACATAGGGTGCTAGACCATCATAGAGCCCACACAGGGGACACCCTACATAGGGTGCTAGACCATCATAGAGCCCACACAGGGGACACCCTACATAGGGTGCTAGA